AACGGCAAGACTGGTATTATTCTCTGAGCAGCCATGTGTGCCTGGCCCTTGGGAATGCATTTCACAGGTTGGTAACTATCACTGCCTGAATTTTAACCCAGAGAATAAGGGTTGAGCACAGTACTCACTTACAGCCGCACAGTATGAGTGAGGGAGCTAAGAGATTCTAGATGGCAGAGAATTGGGATGAAAGAGAAACTGACTGAGAATCAAGAGACGCAGTTCTGAAGCCCAGTTTTAACAGGAAGTAACCTCAAAGCCTCCTCGTTTTCCTCCTTTGTAAGATAAGGACCCAGATGACCCCAGGCTCCTCCCAGCACCGTGTCCTATGAATCTATTACGACATGATTTTCCCATCCAGCCAGACCCTCTTGAGCAACTGCAGTCAGCAGCACCCTGCAGGCTCAGATCGGTGGACGCTGTGTTCAGGATAACAGGGCGTCGTCATAGTTGCCCTTTTTCACTTCTCAAGTTCAGCTGAAAGCTGCTACTGTAGTGCTAGTAAGACCAGTGCCTGGGCGTCTCGAGGCCCGAGTGGCGGAAAGGGTGGCATCAGCCTGCTGAGTGGCCAGGACAGGTCTTGGCCACACTGCCCTGTTGTGGTGCTGTGTTGCCGTAACCAAGGCCAGGAGGCTTAGCACCTCGCCTCCTCTATCAGCTGGGGACTATTCACGTCTCTCAGTTCTCAGAGGACTGCGCCTGAAGGAGAATTATGTTCCACAAAGACACATGACAGGTGGCCTCAGGCTCCATTCAATACCCAGGACGGACCAAGACACAGTCAGTCCCTGCTGCAGACAAGTGTAGGGGACAGGGAGTCCCTTCCTTCCTGGAGGACACTTCACCAGGCCCTGCCCCGCAATTCGTCTCAGATCTGATCTTGTCACCCCAGCCAGCTCCACTGGCAATCTCCTCCTGGCTCTGCCATGGAGACATAATCATCAGCTCTGCCGCTTATTAAAACCAACGTGAAGTCACCTCACACCTCCGAGCCTCAGTCCTCCTCATGTGGAAAAATCAAGACTGCCAAACTTTACAAAAGATTACTTCCATGGGTACTTGTCTACCCCAGGATTCCTATTCCTTAAACACTAAACCAACACTCACTCATTAAATCTGAACTGTAAGATGTCATTCTCCAAATCTGGAAGAGGCAAAGGGAAAGCTTTGCCATCACTCGGAGGCTACTGATTTTGGAACCTGGTAATCCCCCAAAGCAACTAGAAATTTAATTCTACTCAGTGAATCCTCACTGAACATCTGCTGGTACCAGGCCCAGTTCTAGAGACTAAGGATGCAGAGATGAAAGAGAACACAAGAACTTGCTCTCCTGGGACTTGTTTAATGTAAGCCACTTGAAATTTTTAAGTTAAAATCTATGTGGGGACAACAGCGTTGAATAGAGCTATTAGACCACCAGGAAAATAAAAGTTTTACTCTTTTAAGTTACAGGACATTATGGAGGTGGGAGGCTGAAGCGGGATGTTTACCCTGAAGTCACTTCCTCCTTTCCCTATTACAACTTCTTTTTTCCTTTCCCAGTGTGCACAAAAAAAGTTCCAATCAGCTCTTCACGCGTCATCAATGCCCACCCTACGCACCACCCCTGATCAGAGGTTATGTATATATTCCATACCCCAAGTTCCAGTCAGAGGGTGCCAGACCGCCTTTGGTTGTGGGCTCCTCTCTGCATCCTTGGAATAAAGGCTACTTTTTACTTTTATATTTTTGCTCTTTTATTGCATGGAAAAACACTAACAGAAAACCCATTCTCCAGCCATAAACCTGGCCCCACAGAGGAGCAGCTGCACATACGCTGACAACACTTTCCTTGGTGACCCTAGCCAAAAGCAAATTCCTGAGCGGGAAGGATTGTGACTGTAACCCAGGGTGGCTTTTCTAATGTCCTCAGCTATCCTTTCTGGCTTCAGTTGCAACCAGTGTGGTGCAACACAGCCTCTGTTTCCTCAAGTCTATGCCTCAAGATATGCTGGGTGATCAGCGGGTTAGGGTTCCTCATCCATGCAAACCCCAGAAACAGTCACCTGAACCAAGCCAAGCAGGTTTCCGTAGGCTCCTCAGCCCTGGGGAAGCGAAGGCACTTGGGACTCAGTGCACAGGGTACAGCAGCTTGCAGCCTTTGTGCTGCTCGGGCCTCAGACCTCGCATGCTGCTCGCTCCAGCACTCAAGCTCAGTCACGCTGGCTTCTTGAAGACATCAGGAGCTCTGATTCTGGTCCCAGAAAGCCACCAACGCACTGTGCGAGCAAGGCACGCTGCCTCCCCAGGGCTTCCTTTGCTCGTCTAGGAGATGAGACTGTGGTGCTGGAGGTGGGATAAGAGGACAAAGGAGAGGAGGGGAGAGGTAGAGGGACTCTGTCAACCAGGAGACTCAGACTCAGCCCTGGGAGTACAGCAGGCGCTAACTCAGGCTGGCCTGGACCTCTGATCGCAATGCACTCTTCACCCCTAGAGTGGCCCCTGCCTCTCCCTGGTGACTATGCTCACAGCCACTCTAGTCCTTTTGCCCTCTAGAAAGTCATCAGGAGCCTGGGCCGTGAAAGATGGGGGCCTCTGAGATGCTCCAGGAGAACCCAGGGCTGCACAAGGCCAAGTGATGTGGCCACGGGAAATCGCACAAACAGAAGGGATGATTCACCTCCTCAGCTATGCGCAAGCAACACTGAACCCCAGAAAGAGGGAAAAAGCAACATCCAGGCTTCCACTGCCAGCTACCCCAAGTGAAGAGGAATTGCCTGGCCATATATCAAATACGCAGCTTGGCTAATTACATAGTTAACAGAACTCCCTTCGTATATTTTTTTATAATAACATTTGAAGAAAAGAAGACAACCAGTCCACAAGCCAGTTGGGCAACTGGCACATACGTGGATCTCCAGCTCAATGACATACAGGGTATCAACTTACAGATGTATTCACAGAGAAGTGTTGAGAGATGATCTGTCAGCAGATGCATAGAGAGAGAAGGAAACATCTAATTCTCTATGTACCCAGATATCTCTATTGCTGGGTATGCACAGGGACAAAGAGAAAACACAGTGAAGTGTTAGTGGTGGTTTTCTCCAGGTTGTGGAACAACAGATTTTCTCTTATTCAAATATGTATTTTCTAAATATCCTGCAATAAGCACATATTATTTTTATAATACAAAAAAGGCAAAATTAACCAGTCCCTTTTTGAAAGAGTCGTTGGATGCAGGTCTGGGCATGAAAGAAACCAACAGCTGTGGTCAGGTTGCCCCAAAAGGCTCCTCTGCACTCCTGTCTCCCATGACCTTGGCTCACCTCCCGGTTCCTACTCATCAACGCCAGCTGGATCACAGCTTGGTCCAGCTCCCCAGCCAGGCTCCTGCATTTCCCCAGGATGTTCTCAGAGCCTCAGAGAAGCACAGCCCCAGAGGTTCTGATGAATGTGGATGGCACTGTGAGTGGCACTGCTTGAGTGGCCCACACACCCATACAGAGTGGCCCCACCTGGTGCCCCGAGCCCATTATTGTAATTGTCAAGGCATTTTGCTAAGTGCTACACAAATGAAGGTGACTGGGCTTGGCAATGAGGACACCTATGTGTCACAACACTGGCTTCAGCCTGCCTGGGCATACGTTGGGTTTCCTACTTAGCAGCTGAGTTTCTTTGCCACCTCACCCTACCTGCTGCTATGAGCACAGTGCACCTGGCTCACCTGAGTTGTGTTGGATGAGGAGGAATTGTCCTGAGCCACAAATAAAATGTATAATATAGTTAATGTATACAAGTAACAAAATTGCCTTTCTATATATATATGTTTACACATAAAAAGGTGTGTCCAACCTGTGGGCCGCAGGTTGAACACGCCTGCCTCAGTGCAGTTAACATCTCTGCTAATCCAACCTCAGTTACCTGAACAGGGAGATCATTCCAACAGCCACCTACAAATGCTCTGAAAATTAAGTGAACTTAAAGCAAAAGCACTGGATTTTCTGTCTCACAGTGGAGCACTCAGTCTTAGCTACCACAATATGACTTCCTCTCACCACACAGAGAGACCTAAGACAGGGTCTTCCGTGCTAACTAAATCTTACATTCTTGTTGAACTCTCCCTGGGTGAGATGTGAGGAGAGGCGAGGCAGAGTATGAGTGAGTCCCAGGGTGCCAGAACTGGGCCAGTGCTGCTCCCCAAGGTCACAGAGAGTGCAGAGAGCCAGAGGGTTCAGTTGCTCTGCGATGGTTAGAGTTGCTGCCTACAAACAGACTTTGCCAGCAGCAAAGTCAAGCGACAGGTGACAGAGCAGCAACCAGTACAAAAGACCAAGACTGTGGGGGGAGACTAGGGACCAGGGAGCGCTCCCTAGCTTCTCAATGCCCTTTCCTAGCAGTGTGGATGCAAGGTCTCTAGGGAAGCCTTCAACACCACTGTCATGCCTCTTAAGTCATTAGGAGTGGCTCCAGGTATAGCACTGAACACACCCCAAATTACAATGGGCAAAGTCTAAAGGCAGGAATTCCAGGCTGGCCTGGGATCCCACTTCTTCCAGTTGACATTCCACCTCCCGCAGGGTGGGGTCTCATCTTGGGTTCCAAGAAAGCCCCTGCGTCTGGGCAGCAGGGTAGAAAAGAGGGGAAGGGCAATCAGGTTCCCAGGAATTGCTACCAGCCTGTGCCACCTACACCTAGGATCTAGTCATACCCACACAGGAAGCCTAAGAAGGTCCTTAGCATTGGGCACTTTGAGGAGCAAACTGACACACACTTGGAGCTTCAAACAACACAAGCCTACTGTGTACTTCCAGAGGTCAGAAGTCCACGTGAGTCTCGTGGGCTGAGATCCAGGGGAGGCTCTCACACGGAGCGTGACACTAATTTTGTGACAAGGATGCAGAAACATGGCTCTGTCAGACCACATTTATTCTTTAGAATATTACTACTGATGAATAGTAATTTTCATTTCATGTGTTTTATTAAACAATGAGTACCAAATAGGAAGAAAAATCACAAAAATATTTAATTTCTAATATTTATTGAACATTTATTTTAAAAAGCATCAAAATTTCCAACGTTGAATTTTTTGTTGTGCTCAGACTACAAAAGAACACAGGGCAGGGGATTTAGCTCAGTGACGTAAGTGCCTGCCTGGCAAGTGCATAGTCATGAGTTCGATCCCTGGTACCAGAAAAAAAAAAGAAAAAAGAGGTACCAGAAAAAAAAAAAAAAGAAAAAAGAACAACACAAATAAATTCTTATATGAGCTACAATAAAAATATCAATACAGGATACACAAAAATAATCTTTAGTTACCACAGCTAAAGCAGTCTGCACACATGGCGGCCCACACACACATCGCTTACACTGACAGCACATGTGTTTAGCTTTCCTGGCCTGTCTGTAGGCCACACCTGACACCTCAGTGCCCTTCCTATTTTGTCAGGAGGTTCTTGTTATATTGTATAAGGTGTAGTTAACAGAAACATAAAGTATCAATAAAATAAAGTATTAAATTCAATGTATTGTACGTTTAGAATAGATATCAACATTTTCAAACCAGCTTGTACTTGCTCACAAAACCCAAAAGATAACATCAGAAGTAAATTCCCGTGTGAACTACAACGAAAACACCAACAGAATTCTATCACAAAAACAAGCTTGGCTTCCACCGCCACACCCAAGGCAGCCCCACATATAACTGCATGTCCTATGCACAAGTGTTGCACTGATGGCACCCGTTTTCTTTCTTGTCCTTTCTTATCGAGCACAGTCGACACCTTCTCTGTTTTCCTGTTGTCACAGTAGGTCTTCGTGGTGCTGTGCCTGCCTGTTCACTGTCAGCTCTCCAGTATGCGCCACAATTTTTTCCATGGTTCCCTGGGCAGAAACATTTTATTTTTCCTGTTACAAATGATCTCTTACAAGCTCCAGTCCCAATCCTCTAAGAAAACTTCTCCATCGTGGTTTGTACTTTTATTTTCTTTGTCAACTATCAAATTGTTTATGCCACACATACTTAGGATCAAATGAAACACGAGCCTTGGCCAGTGCCTTGTGTTTCAGGTGACATCATAGCTGCTGCACAAGTTAAGTCATCACCATTTCTACTCCACCTTTGGTTCTTTGGAGACAGTTTTCATCTCAGGCGTCTGTCTCATTAAGGCTTCCCTATCAGTATTTGCATCACTGGGAAATGGGGACATCAGCAGCACTAGTTTGCCTTTCTTTGCCATCTACAAGGCCAACAGTATGTTTTTCTGAAATCCTAAGATTGTGCTATACAATTCTCGGTTTTGAAATTGCAATATTTCATTTGGATTTTCTGCTTTGCTCCTGCATAGAGTTGCTGTGCTGATCAACTTGTGCTGTGTTTGCAAATGTAACATTGATGGGCAACCAGTAAACCAACTGTCAGACGTCACATTCCGAGTAGTTTGGAGGTGGGAGCTGCAAGTCTGCTTACAACACAGTTTGGTTTATTACTATATGAATAAGGACCTGGTGGCTGAATTCCAGGACAAATGTCTACACTGCAAGTACAGTAAGCCTTCACACCTACAAGTGTGTGGAGGACCACCTGGACGACTCTCATTGAATACAGAGCAGTTACCTCCACCTTAGCTAACCCTGGCCCTGTCTCCATGAACTGTTATGTACAGAGCTGGCTTAGCCATTTCCTGTTCCCTTCAATTGGCTCTGAGCAATGTAAATAGGGCCAGCTGAGGTGCTAGTGTGTAATCTTTGAAGCTAGGCAACAGTCCTATTTTCCCGCCCCATGACTGCCATCAAAACAAGGCTGAGCCAAGTGGGATACAGAGCCACCATTCCAGGGTTGTCAACTGGGTTCAGCCTTGAGATAAGAGGATATGACCCAGGGCAGAAAATGTGTGCACACCAGAGGCTGAAGCACCAGCCCCAAAACATTAAATGCTACCTCAACTGTGTTGTACAAGTTGGTTCTTGTGCATATCCTTCTCTCTGCATATTGCAGAGGGGGTCTCAGGCCTGCTACATAGCCCAGCTCATAGCACTCAAGTCCATCCTGCCGTTCTCACAGTCACTCATCCTCCTGCCACCCGTAAGCAGATGTGCCACCTCCTTCTTCACAAATTAATAAAATCTGGGTTAGGCCCAAGGTCGAGGCCTTCATTCCATGAACCTTCGTCTGGGCCAGACTCAGGAAATCTTGGCTCCCCATAATTATAAATATGCCTTCGTGTCTTTAATCTTGCCATGGGTTTCACTGGAAGTGGCAGATTGGAATTAATTTGCTAGAATTCCAATAACATTTCCATGGTATAAATATAAACTTCCCAGACCTCAATGAGGACAGGAATGGAATCTCTATACAAGAGCATAAATTTTTATGACATATTTTGATCCATCGCTTTTCCATAATTCTTTTACATTCCTGTGATCACCATGAGAAATCATGCCTAGCACAGCAGACCTACCAGAGCTTTCAGTTCACCTATGAGGGGTCACACTATGCTTTTAATACGGTTAGCGGTGCATGCAGAACGTTTTACTTGCATTTCAGCTTTTGTGTATTTCATAGAATCTTGCAGCATTTCATCTGTTACAACTGCCAAATCCCAGCACTTGTGAGGCTGAGGCAAGAGAATCACTGCAGGTTTGAGGCTAGCCTGGGCTACATAATGAGTTCAAGGCCAGCCTAAACTACACAGGGAGACTCTGTCTCACAACACACTGAACGGCAGTCCTGCATCTGTCCAACACATTTTACCCCACAAGACCCTGTCTTAGTAACTTTTCTCTCATTGCCGAGACAGAGTGCTCGACACCCAAAGTTAAGGAAGGAAAGCTTTGTTTAGCTCACAGTGTGTGGATGTTTCAGTCCATAATAAACTGGTTCCAAGACAAGGTGGCACGGCACAGGGCAACAGTGCAAGGTGGCAGAACACAGCAAAAGCAGCAAGAGCAAAAGAGGAGAAGAGCAAGCCTCTTCCTCCCTCATACGGTAGCAGACTACCCACCCACACCATCTCCCTGGCCTCCTCTTGCACAGGATGAGGGTGTGTAGTAAGGATCCTGGCTCTGCTGAGTGGCTTAAACTTGTAAACGTCTCAAGTTAACAAAATGTATTAACCACCACAGATCCTTACTACATTTCTGGACCTAATAAAAGAGATTAAGACAAAAGAGGATATAACAAAGCAGATCAGATCAGAACAATGCAAGAAACACAGCATTTGACCACAAGACAACCCATAATTAACAGTAACTACCATAATGACTCTTTCTTTGAAATAGTTGAACATAACTCCATATATGATAGTATCAAACATAAAAAAACAGTATAAAACCATTCAAGAGAATAAAGCATTACAGGGCTTGCAGAACCAAATAACAGAGAACAAACGATGGCTACTATATTATTTCATTTTCCATAGAAAATTTGTTTATACTATCATACATAATAAAATCCAATAAGATAGAACATGATAGAACCAATGGAAACAGAAGAACAAAAGCATAGTAGGACTTCAGAGTAAGATGATATTAAATCACCACGGGCTAATATAATGTCTTCTTTTCCTCAAAATAGCTGTTCATAATATCACAGATAATAAAATCAAACAAACCAGGATAAAACCATTCCAACTAATGAATGCAAACATTATAAGGCTTCAAAGAAATGTTATGGGGAATCGTGATTACCAAAAACTCTTATGTACTCTTACCATTTCTTACACTAGGGAGACTATATTATATTTATACATGTGAGTTTGATTTATTTCTCTTATGAGTATGGTCTCAAGTTGTGTCCATTGATGTATAAATATCTCAATGTGATCATTCTTTATAGCTGAGTAGTACTCCATTGTATAAAAATACCATAACTTTTTTATCCATTCTTCAGTTGATGGACACTTAGGTTGTTTCTAAGATCTGGCTATTACAAATTGTGCTGCTATAAACATGGGTGCACATATATCACTGTGGTATGATATTTTCAGTTCTTCTGGGAATATGCCTAGAAGTGGATTAGCTGGGTCAAATAGGACTTCCAATCCCAGCTTTTGAGGAGTTTCCAGACTGATCTCCACAGTGGTTGCACGTCTACACTCCCACCAACAGTGCAGGAGAGTTCCTTTTTCCCCACAGCCTCTCCAGCACTTTTTGTTGGTGGTTTTTTTGATCCTGGCCATTCTTTCTGGAGTGAGATGGACTCTCAGTGCTGTTTTAATTTGCATTTCTCTAATGACTAATGATGATGAACATTTTTTCATGTATTTATTTGCCATTTGTATTTCTTCATCTGAGAACTGTGTATTTATCTCAGATGCCCATTTGGACCTAATTCTAATATTAGAGCATTCCATTTGGTTGTGTGGCCATTTTGCAACATTTCAAGTAGTCAATATGTGCTAACATTACTGTTTTCCTTGTCACCTGAATCAAAGAGGTATGCATTCCATGTGTCTGCATCAGTCAATTTTTACTCCATTTCACTGTCATGAGAACCTTGGCTCACATGGCCAGCATCAAAGTCATCATCATCATCTTCATCATCATGAACATCCACCCACACCTCTCTTCTGTTAGGAAAGCATATACTTTACCATAATGGATCATCTTCATCATCTAGGCATGAGTAATCCAGTGATTCACCTCCTCCAAAATTGCTCAGTCTGGTTTTTCACATGCCATTGTACTGAACTGGGCCACTTCTACCTGAAAAAATCAAAAGAAAACTTTTTTAAAAATAAATCCTGTAATGTTGTGGGTCTCCTAGACTCTTTGTGATGCTCCAATAAACATACACAAAATAATGTGGATAAAAATCCTGTTTTGCCACTTTTACACACACCAAGTTCATCATAGCAAGTGGGAAACACATAGATTACTTCCTGTGTCCCTCAGGAAAAGGTTCTGAGATGCATAGTCAGCTACCATTATCTTCTAATCCAAATTTACAGTAGAAAATTAAGGGATGGGTTCACTGGACCCAGTATTAAGCTCCTTCTCCTTCAAGAATCCATCATCTTGCCTTTTCCAGCTTCTAATTCACTTGCCTTCCTTAGCACTTGGCTTCATTGGTCTTCAGGACAAGTAATGACCAGGCAAATCCTCCTCCCACGCCATGTTACTTCTCCTTTCTGACTCTTCTGCCTCCCACTTTCCTACTCGAGGGCCCTGGCAACATTACACTGAGCCGACTTGAACAATCCAGCACACTCAAATTTAAGGTCAGCTGATTAGCTTCCTAATTCAACTGCAAACTTAATGCTCGCCTTGCCCCAGAACATACCTCATTCACTAACCTCTGGGAAGGAGGATGTGAACATCTCTGGAGTTATAGAAGGAACTATTCTGTCACCTCAGGCAACCATGGCAAAAATTCTACTACTCTAGAAAGTGACTTCCAATATTTCTGGCCCAAGAACCAGTTTCATGAAAAACAATTTTTCCACAGAAAGGAGGAAGATGGTTTTTGGATGATTCAAGCACATTGCATTTTTTTGTGTACTTCATTGCTATTATTATTATATTTCAATATATAACAAAGTAAGTGTATAACACATCATAGTGCAGAATCAGTGCAAGGCCTGATTTTCTGCAACTAGACAGTCCCAAGCAAGGGAGATGAGAGACAGCGACACCCAAAGTCTATTGCTGCTCCTAAGAAAACCCTGTTTCACAAAGACAGGATGTTGGAAATGGAAGCAGACCTTTCAGTGCTCTTCTGGTAACCTTAGGATACTCTGCCTTGATTCTCATCCAGAGATTTAATGTTGTCTCAAACATAGTTTTAGATCGCCATAATTTGTGATCTTAAGCAGTTGATCCTCTTCCAGAAAGGACAAAATCAATTCACCTGGCTTATTCACAAATAGGATGCCTGGTCTAGAAGAAGGACAGAAGGACACCCACACTTCCAACAGGGGATGATCTCAGAGGAGGTGCTAATCTGAACTCTCCCAGGGGAGCCATTGCCTCAGGAAATGTGTGTGACCTGAGCCAGGTCAATCATATAATTCCTAATCCTTGGCTGGAATTTTGATGCTTTCCCTCTTTTTCTAGAATCCCAGCTCTGAGGACAGTGGACAACAAGGAACACCAGTGGCTGCTTTTTATCAAGACTGAGAAAGCTTCCTTGTGCTGAAGCCAGTGTAGAGAGTCACCATGAGTGAGATGGAAAGAAAGATTCAGAGATGCAGGCCCTCCAGCCAGGCCCACTGCCCATATCCACCCCTGGGCTTTCCAAGTACTTGAGCCAATAAATCTTCTCTGCTCTTTGTTTCTCCTAATCTAACTTTCTTTCATGGACAGCCAAGTATTTACGTGTTGGGGCAAGTCACAGCTTTCCAAACCCCATTTTATCTTTATCTAAAGAAGGTGCTTCTATAGCTGGAAGGATGTTGACTGACCTGGGTCTCCCAGACCTGATTTTCCCTAAGAGTCTTAAAGGGACCACTGCCTGGGAAAGCATGTCTGCTTCCATCCCTCAAAATGGATGCACTCCAGACAAGCACCATCTGAAACCCAGCAGATTCCTTGCAAATCCTGTCCATGCGCGTACCCATGCACACGAGCAACTAAGTGAGAGAAGAGCCACCTCTTGATTAACCAGCATTCAGCTCACCAGAGCTCACAATTATCCAAAGCTGTGTAGTTGACTTCAAAGGCAAAAACAAAGAAGCTGACAGGAGTGGAGAGCCTTAGAAACAAAAATCTTCCCAGCAGCTATTATTATGATATCCAGTCAAGAAGACTAAAACTAGACCCATGTCTATTACCCTGCACTAAGCTAAAATCAAAATGGATCAAAGATCTATATATTAAAACATAAACACTAAATATACCAGAAGACAAAATAGGTAGAAATTTTGAAGACGGGGTAGCAGAGAGTTCATGAACAAAAACCATACTGAGATCTCATCTTATTAAAAAGTTTTGCACATCCAAAGAAATTACCAACAGAGTGAAAAGAAAACCTATGAACTGGGGAAAAATTTTAGCCACTTGTCCTTCAGACAAAGGACTTCTATCTAGAACATATAAAGAATTGAAAAATATCAGGCCCCCCAAATTCAAAGACCCAATCCAAAACTGGGCATCTGAGATGAATACACACTTCTTAGATGAAGAAATACAAATGGCAAATAAATACGTGAAAAACTGTTCAATACCATTGGTCATCTGAGAAATGCAAATTAAAACAACACTGAGATTCCATCTTACCTGAGAAAGAATGGCCAATATCAAGAAATCAACCAATAACAAATGCTGGAAGGGCTGTGGGGGAAAAGAATCCTTCTCCACTGTTGGTGGGAGTGTAGGCTGGTACAACCACTGTGGAAATCAGTATGGAGAATCCTCAAAAAGCTAGGATTATAGGTCCCATTTGACCCACCTATTCCCCATCTGGGTATTTTCCCAGAATTAAAAACATCACACCACAGCAATATATGTGCACCCATGTTTATAGCATCACAATTTGTAATAGCTAGATCTTAGAAACAATCCAAATGCCCATCAACCATGGAATGGATAAAAAAAAGATGTGGTATTTTTATATAAAGGAGCACTACTCAGCTATCAATAGGTTTTTGTTTCTGAACATTTATTTCACACAAGTGAAATAAATGGAATGTGCATGTGTAAGCATGGTCTTGTCTCCCTCGTGTAAGAAACTAAAAGAGTAAATAAAACACAAAACCTGCAATGGGTATTGAGAAAGGGAAAGAAGCTGCTCACAAGGAAAGAAAAACATGGATGACAGAAAGAAGAAATGAAGGAAGGGAAAAGAAAAAAATATATATTCATTTACATACAAGATAGCTAACATAATTATACTACTAATTTCTTTTAGTTCACTGAAGGGATCAGTTGGTGCTTATATTGGTTGATTAATTTCACAGGCCTATATCTTGTAATCTGAGCAACTCCTTTGAAGACAATACACAATATATTAACCATTGTTAATTTCTTATTATCCTGTTTTGAAACACTGCATTATTTTGTTTACTTTTCTGTCTTTACAATTAAAAAAAAAGCCACTCACTACGAAGAGCTCATGAGGTGCCAGACACTGTGCCCAGTGGTCTACAGATGCTAACTGAATCTTCCCATTACCCCATCTTATGGGCGTGAAAAGCAGAGGTTCCTGGTGCTTGAGTAACTCTCCCAAGGTCACAGAACTGACACTACAACCAAGCTCCTATCTCCCACAATGCGCTTTCCTACTGTTCCTGGACTCATTAAAAATAGCGCAGTGAGAACTTATTTTTGGACAGATTTCCAATAAGAAAATTTGAAGGGAGTAAGTTCACCCCTTGGTTGAATTCTCTAAGTTTTCAGTTACATAGCGGGCCTATTTGAAGATTCCTTTGCATGATGGAGGCAGTAAACCAATGCAGCAACTAACACGGAATACACAGTGTTCCAAACTCCGTCCTGAGCTATTTTAATTCAGTGAATCCTCACTCACCCTGGTGGGAGGGGGCTGAAATATTTCCATTGCACAAGTAAGCAAATTGAGGTGCAGAACTAGCAAGCACTTGCTCAATTCTGCTAAATTCACCTAACTTTCATACAATAGGACTTCTTCTTGCTTTATTATCTGATGTTATAGGAAATTTTTATTTGCAACATGTTTTATCCTTTCTACATTTCAGAAACAGAGAACCCAAGTTCTGCTTTCATCCTGCCACTGTAGAGCTATGGAGCCCCAACCAGGGATCCTGCCTCATCAGGCCCCCATTTCTTCCTCTGTCAGGTGGGAGAGCTGGAACTGGATTCTCTCGAAGGTCCCTCCGGCTCCAATACCTGAGATAATAAAGAGATGACCTTGTTCCCTGGAATGTCCTTTCCTAATTCTTTGGCAAACCTGAGGTGTCTTGGTTGAAATGCAAGTATGCTGGCAGCTTTCTGTCTGTCATGGTTAACTATGCACCTTAATTGCCCAGGTGCCCAGCGGCCAAGGACAGTAGGTACATTTTTACATTGATCTAATCAAAGGCTGCTTAACTCAGGGCAACATCTCTGTTCCATGAGCACAGATGGTTGACAGGAGCAAGTTTCCTTGAGGTGATGACTCCTGAGAAGTCCTAGAGCGTTAACCTAAGAAAAATCATGTGTTTCTCCATATATTCCCCTCTGGGACAGGGGTGAGAGAAGGGCAGGGCTGTCCGACCATAACTCAAGGTCTGAAGCAACAGACGGACTCCTGATTTTGTGCACATGACATCAGAGGCTGAAGTCTCAGTGTTTTCCCCTGAGATTTTTTTTTGACTTGGCTTTTGTTTTTCAAGGCAATCAATTCTGCTTATATTTAGAAGGGCACTGTGTTATGGCAGGCTTTGCTTTAAAAACAAAGGTGGAGGATAGATGAGAAATTATTAGAGATCTCTTGAATATGTGAAGAGCTGACATACCTTCAACATCTGACTTTTGAAGAGCTGAGTAAATGGAAAGCAACCTAAGACTCTCGCCAAATCAAAAGGTTCAGCAAACTGGGCATTCTATGAAGTGCCCAAACAGCTATAATACTATCAAACAACTATGATGCATTCCATTTGGAGACATCTGGTTTCCACCTATAGTTAGATGGACAAAAACTTTTTCTACCTAACACTAATCTTTCCTAGAAAATTTATCTGTCTTAGGTTAAGATGAACCCACCATCTGGTGCCAAAATGATCAGATACTCACTTTCCCAGCTCCCCTCG